TATCAAAATGCTCAAGTGAGGAATTTGGGGGGAATAAAAGATGCTCAGCAAGCGCTGCTGTTCAAACTGGAGTTACTGCCTGGACTGGTATTCCCCATGCTTATGTAACCTGAATCAGCTTCTCTTAAAATAAAATTTATGTATAAGGTTACGTGTACATTTGTACCGTAACTTTTCTCTACTTACAGCACTAAGGTGAGGCTAAAAGCCACTGTATATCTACAGTGTGTTTCACTTGTAGTTTAAACAGTTGGAAATCAGTCCAGATTCATTCATTTCATGTGTCTCAAACCCCTGGTACAGAAAATAGAGAGGAAACCTCTGACTGATTCTGAACAGCTTTCTTAAGGAACTGTTGCAAATGCAGTGGAGGGCAAGAATGTTGATAGTTAAGAACAAAAGGCCATGAAAGACATCTATATTAATGTACTGGCTGCCTAACCATAGCTCAGGCTGGGACAGTCAAAGCTGCAGCTTCAGATGGCAAATCTGCTGCCATGGCCTTTCCAGCATCTCCCTTCAGCACAGTGCAGCTGGCTGGGCACCAGCCAGCATGTCCACTGGTCATTTTACTTCTAGGTTTGCTTAAGCATTTAGTGTGTTCATGAAGCCGGTTCCCTCATTTGCAAGCATCCAAAGTGGCATGGGAGTAAATTCAGAAGACTATGGCAGCTGTGGCTGGAAGAAGTAGTGACTGCTGCCTGGAAGTTATGGCACAGTAACTAAGCTCCATAAGGAGCTGTAAAATAGCGTGGGCTGCAAGAACTAAAGTGGGAACACACAGAGATGTGTTCAAACTCATTCTTGGGAGTTGAGAAACCTGAAGTAAAGCTTACGAGCCTAGGGATGATGGGTGAAGTAGCTTCTGTCTATAGTTAGGCAAAAATCAGGTTTTTTCAGTTTAGTGGCAGAAAGAGCAAACAACTTGTCCAGAGACAGAAGGTTTCCTGGCACTTTTGGTTGAAAGGGTGGATGAGACACTTCTTGAAATATTAATGAGAAACATTCAGTTCAAATCTCTCAAATTAAAGCAAAGCAGGTAATAAAGTTCTTCAGGATTCTCTCTTTTCCTCATAAATACAAGACATGGTTAGAACTGCTTTGAGAAGCTGCAAATAGCCTTCCTCAGACTCCACCAGTGATACAACAGTATGAATGCTACTGACAAATTTGGAAGCCTAGAAGGATTGCAAGAGCTAACTCCATCCGGGGTGACAATGGGTCTGGCTAAAATCTCTGGAGTACTTCCGTTTTGCCAGGGAGTCTTTGGAAAAACCCCACAAATTGTCTATAAACTGTTAATTGCACTTTGCCTCTCCTCTATTAATAACAGTATTAACAATTAGTAATTCATGTAATAATAGTAATTGGGTAATGAGCCACATTCTTACAAGTCTCATTGTCTTTTGAGAAAAGCAGGCTTTAAGAGCTAGCCTAGCATGAGAGCTGCTGAGTAAATCTCAGTGAAGTACAGGTATGTGAAGTTTAAACTTCCTGGTCTGAAGTTGAATTCAGGTGATAATAACCCGATAACAACCTGGTGCCTCGAGAAAGTCACAGAGAGAAACTCATTTCCTAAGAAACCCCTAGCTGGAAAATGTCTGGTTTAGGATTTCTGGTTTTGCTGATGTACTCTTCAGGAAAATTACTGCTTTGAAATATGTGAAATACTTTTTACAAGTGAAACTACACATATAAAACAAGCTCTTGGACTTGTATAACTGCAAAACCACAGCGAAATACCTTCCAGTCCCGATCATCAGAGGAAGGCTGTGAAGTACAGAGTACTCAAACCAATTGCTTTGATGACTGGAAACAACAATTGCTATAATTTACGCCTATCGGCCTTTTACTTTGTTTGCTTTTTGCCTTTCAGTTACAGAAGCTTGGTTCTAAGGGATGTTTGCTCATTCTAAGAATCACAAAGAAAATAATTTGAGGGGTTTTGCTTAAGTTTGGAGCAAATGCCTTGGTCAAGTGCTCTTTCAAATAATGACAGCTATTTTTAGATGGTCTGGGCAAGTTTTGGATGAAAGGGTCTTGAAAATATTTTGCTATATAAGAACTCACAGAGAAAGTTGGCTGTTAAAACACACTGCTTACTTTGTGAAACAGATATTAGCATTATGAGGAAGTGATGAAAGCTGGAATAGTATGCTTATCAACAGGTGGCTCCGGGCAGGATATTCTTTGCTATTTACCCTATAAATAAAGACTGGATTTGAGAAAAGCCCTGCCTTGGGAAAAGACACAAGGCTAACAAGGTTAGGTAATCAATCACCTCCCAGTATCCGTCAATCTGTCTTCCATGTAAGTACTTAAACCAGAGTAATTTGAACAGGCATTTAGAAACTTTAATGGCACTTGAACACCAGCCAACTCCTACAGCTTTTCTGATAACACCACCACCAGATACATGAGTGAACTCCACAGACGGAAACCAACCCCAAATAAAATATTAATTACCATGATAAAAGTGACTGTGAAATCTTCTGTGTACACTCTCCCCCTTCAAAATCAAACATTCTTGAGTGTGCATTGGTAGGCAGTCTTCAGATGCCTGTTCACACACACAGAGAGCTATTTCTCTCCCCTCAGGACTCCTGCCTCACAAAGGCAATGCAGGGACAAAACACAATCGTGAAACCATTCATTATTGTTCTTCCTGGTTGTTCAAACGGTCCCCATACTTTCTTCCCTGTTCCAGGAAAAGAACCACCATGTCCCTAACAGGCCACTAATTTCTATGGAAATCTGCCCAGAACTGGTACAAGAACAGCCTAGCTTTCAATATTGCCTTGCTGAATGGCACCTACAGCAATGAATAAAGTGACAGAAATATCAAAGGGAAAGAAGTTAAAAATTAGCCTAAAAATAAGCCAGCATTAAAGTGGGAATAGGGTCATGGCTTGCTCAGACATGAATCTCTGCTTTGGATTCACCACCTTGCTCGGGAATTTTGCATAGCTTTTTGGCCCAGAAGCGGTGGGTTTTGGGTGCATTGTTTCAGGTTTTCACCCTAACCCTAATCCAATGCAGCCTGTGGATTAGACTCTTTAACTCAGTACCTAGAGTACTAAAGATGTTTCTTCCTTGTAGTTTCTTCTTTACTTGAAGGAATTCAAACTGGTCTTTCTTACCTCCTAGTCAAAAGTTTTCTAAACTCAGGTTCTCAGTTTCTCCCAAATAAGTTGTGCTGTTTTGCATGAGCTAGCTTCACATGTATAGAAAAGGGAACCAAGACAGGTTCTGTAGCTATAGGGAACAACACCTGAAAATAGGGATGACTCCAGTCACCTCCAGCTAATGTTTAAACCTGTTAAATATTCAGTGGAAACAAGATGTAATCCCAGATGAAATAATTCTGTGCTCGTATACTCTTGTTTTTCCACTGCAATGCTGCCAATATGTCCAGTTATAGCAAAACATTCTAATATTATTCTGCCTCCTCCCTTCTTCTTCCTCATTTCCCAGCTACCCTGGTACATAATTAAATAGCACAGTACAGTAAATATTCTACTCAACAAGTCACTTTAAACTTCTGAGACACCACACCACCAGATCACAAAATTACACAAAACACTGGTTCTTGTAGGCCATCTAGTGATAAAAGCAGTACAGTACAAGGAGAAAACCATTTAAAGCTTTTCCTTCTTAAAGATCACTTCCTATAACCCGCAAGACACACAGGGTTTCCTTGCTGATGGATGTTTTTCCCACACAGCAGCAAGCAAGATTACTGCGCCTATAGCCATACTCTGAGTAAGATGAGAGCATGGCCACAGGCTCCTTTCCTTCTCTCTCCAACATTAATCCTAAAAACCATGCTTACTTGACTCTATACCAAGTAGACACAGGTTACAGAAGCATCCTGATTTCTGACTGTCACAGACAGAAATAAAAGACCATAAAACGACCATTAATACTTTATCCATGGTATCTAAAATGAGAGCAAAAATACACATATGCTTGAATAAAAGTTTAATCCATGTATCATAGAAAAATCTTACAAGGCTTTACATGATAAAAGATATTAAGAAAAGACACAGACAAATTCATAGTAAATACAATGCTTTCTCATCACATTACACACAATACTGTTATAGTTACAGACTTAGGAACTAATTACTACCACAGCAGTTAGTAGACATTTCACTTACAAGTTTGATCCCTGCTTTTAATGCTAAACCCTGCCCTCCTTACTTAGGCAAATTCTTACAGATATTCCTAAGAATTCAGCCTGAACAAGAAGTAGAAGACTGGACTGGGTTTGTAAGTAGCTTAGCTGCCACATTTGTATGCAACTGTAGAGTGTAATCCTCTTTTTACACTTGGTTCTACTCAGGAGTCAGCTAATAAAATTAATAAAGTCACCTATATTAAAACAAGTTCCATTTACTGAACTTGACTGATCTGACAAATGCAGAAATAACCTGCAATATCATGTTTAAGCTAGTAATTACCTGGCAAGCATCCTTCTGGTATGTCACAGTTAACGTCTCCTTAGTTTTTTAATAAATGCATTTCACATTCTCTTACACAGTTGTTTCATGATAAAGAGCAAGAGGAAAGTCTTTCACTTGAAAAACCTGAGAAATGTACCAGCTTTATTCAGATATGGTACTTGAGAGTATAACATACTACAAACAGAGCTGTGGTATAAACCTGAATTTCATAAAACTCCAAATCCCTGCAGATGTTAACAGAGTTTGGAAGCTGTGCAACAGAGGAAAAGTTAGATTTGATTGTCTCATCTTAATTCCTTTTTGGACACCACACAAAATCACTGAACACAATTTTCACTAAGTGTGCAACAAAGCAAAGGTATAAAAAGAAAAAACGTATCACAGGATATCAAATGTAACTGCTATTGTCACATGTCAACATTAACAGGTTTCTCATACACATTCATCTGCTGTTTGAATTCTAGCTGCATTAAACTACCCAACACTGCAGAAAGAAACCACTCTCTTTAAGTTAAAGCCAAACTACTACAAAGACAGAATTCTATCCAGTAGCTACAGGAAAAGTCAGATTACATAAAGAAAAAAATAGGTTTACATTCTTTCAAATAATACTAATAAAAAAAGACATCTACATCTTTCATCTGGCTCCAGTTATGTAAAACTGAATTTGAAACGAACAGAAACTGGAAATCAGCACTTAACTATGCCCTCTAAATGTACCCATTTTACCTGAGACTTGCAATGCCTAGTTTACACTGCATCCTATTTATATAGGCCTCACAAGGTATAAGCACTCAAAACAAAGCTGAATGTACAAGAGAAACAGTTTCACAAATGGATATAGTGTGCATATTAGGGGCAGGGGGGGGTGTGGGAAAAGTCTCTTTGCTGTCATGCTCCTTACTACTTTTGTCAATTTTTCAAATGACAAAATAGCCCCTGTCAAGAACTTGTTTACGTACACATATTTATGACAAACCCAAGAGTCTCGTTTGTTAAATCACGTGAAAAGGATAGGATTTTCCTAAGCAATGTATCTAAGCCTTTCATGCTATCATAGCCCACAACATTTACAAAGATAACTCTCATGTTTTAAAACACATGAATACAGTGTTTTTCCTTGTACTAAATATGATTACTTCCAAGTTCATAAGCATAATCAAAACCTTTTCCCTTGAAGAAAAAGCTATTTTTCATCAGCTTCCCTAAAAGTGTGATCCAAGACAATTATTATGTTATTAAATATAGACTTTATATTAATGGTCCACAAATGCAGAAGAAACAGAATAAATCATTACAAAGAAAAAGAACTGTGCTGGCTTTCTGTCATGTGCAGTGCACTACATCAGCTTAATTACTCAATGCTGGCAAATAATTCCATTTATAAATAGCAACACCACACCTTTGACACAATATTCAATCAAAAAAATAGATTTGCTGAAATGAAGAAAATGTTCCTGTATATACTGGAGTATAATTATAAATCAATTCTTTTGTTTCCTCAGCTTCACTGGGAAAATGGTGCAAGCTCTTCCGGGCTGTAAAACATTGTAAAAATACAGATCACTTTACTGTTATCCTACTTGACAGTATCTTTCCTGGCAAAGCAAGTTGTTCTGTGTGGTATAACAGCAAATGAAATTACAGTAACTTGTATGTGAAGAACTGTGAAGATGCATCTTCATAAAGCTGGTTATACCATATTTTATTACTGGGGAGGGAGAAATTTAATTATTAATTTAAAAGCCAAGCCTGTACAAACATATTTATCCATGAGATAATTAACAAAACAAAACCTGAATTCTTTCCTGATTTATCCCATTGTCAATTTTACACAAGTTAAAATTAAGGACGTATGGATATGAAAATGGTATTTCAATAGAATGGTTTAGTTATTAAGTGATCATAGATGAGTGTATTTTTGTCAGCTGAAAACAGTTTTTCACCCATAATTTATTTTCCAAGTTAAGAAGATGCTCTGCCTTATGTCAGCTAAAACCATCAATTACTCATTGCAGCGTTAAGATATGAAGTACTCAGTAGGAGCAGCTGTACACCTACTGGAGAGGTGATGAAGGATAATAGCTCATCATATGGTACGTGAGATGGCAGCAGACACAGAGCTGGCTGACACAAGTTTACTCTACTAGAATTGAAGGTCAACAGCTCCAAAAGCTAGTGACACATCTGTGTGGTACCATGCATGAGCTCATTACTTGTGTGTACATATATAAAAGAACCCACAGGCACTGTACCTCAGCAGGATTTACAAGCAGAGCTGGCCCTTTTATTTTTTTTGACACATTTACTTGGACAATGGCCTGAGCAAGCTTACTTGTGCCTGTAATACAGAGTGCAGATACTAGTGAACATAGCAAACAAAACCAGGAAACATGCTGCGTTCTAGCAGTAGAGTACAAAAGAAAAGGCAGACTCACACTACACTTTCTCCTGGTTTTCCCTTTATTTTTGTCTTAGTATCCTGTAAGTACCTTATCAAAATTCTTAAAATAGAGGAAGCTTCTGGATACTTCTTGGATACTGCCAAGGCATTTTGTGCGATTTTGCTACCTTTTCACAAAGGGGAGTAGAACGACATTTTGCAGAAAAAGAGCCCTGAACTTGTACAAAGCACAACTTTTATTTCCACACCACTCTCGCTGACTAGGTCAGCACAAGCTGCTTTTCTTTAAATCACTGTTGCTTTTTAGGTGACTCTTCCGATTAGAGAACAAATTTAGAGACCAAATTCAATTAGGTTATTGATTATGTTCTTCATACTGCCAGTCAATCAGGTAAGACAACTGCATAAATAGTCAATTTAAAACAAGAAAATCGTATTTTGGCAGAATGGTTCAGTAAGTATAAACAAAGGAATAAAGTAAGCTTTATCACTTTGAATATTCCTGTATTTATATCCTGCTTATTTAAATAGAACAGAAGTGTCATAAATTATCAATATTTTATACATTAGTTACTTCCACCTTCTTAGTGTATAAACAAATTAAAAGCTCTATAAAATTAAAAAAACTTCTTGTGCTGTCTAGAGTACATAACTGTTGGGCAACACACTGCTCCCCTTTGATACATCTGTATACTGCCCAAGCAGTATTTATAATATTGGTGATTATATTTTGCAAGCAAAACTAAGAATACAATGAATGACTATAACTCAGTCTGGAACTCAAGAAACTTCTGTAAGTATGAACAGAGTATTTTTTTAATTTCATTGTCTCTGTTCAAGGAAGGCTAAAATGTACACTTATCATTTGACATGGTAGAGAGTCAAGCACAAACAATGCTTTTCAGCCAGTCCACTGAAGAATTTGTGGAATACTTGGCCTTTTAATGTCACTTTTACTAAGCCATTCTATTTGTAGTATCCCATGTTTTTTATAAGCCTATAAAGCTTGCAGAGTAATCTTCTCAGAAAGCAGCGAGAGGTACTGAACTCTGAAAGTTGAAAAAGAGGTCTGTCATCTTCAAAGACTTTCAATAATGCTTCACTCTAAAAAATGACATTTATAGATGATAAACTTTTTACCTTCATTAATGAAGAAGTCAGCTACATAATATGATGCTCTTACAGCTGACGGGGAATGTGGAATGCCTGGTGAACTCTTCCACTCAAAAGGATTTTTCTCTGGATGCCACTGGACACCATAAATTGGATATTTGTATGCTGTAAGAAACACAAAGTACGTAAGTAAGGTCTATACCTAAAGAATTATGTGCTTAGTCTTACTGCAAAAGAACTCAAAGAATAAGCTATGAATAACTCACATCAACAGTTTAACAAAAGCTTAAGCAGCAAGGTGAAACTGCTTAAGTCACAGTACAACTGAAAGAAAAAAAATGGATATTCTAAAAGAAAGGTCTCATTCCATGCAAGATTTTTGTACACCACTTTTTTGATTATTCATTTCAGAATTAAACATATACATACATTGCTTCAGCAAAAATAGTGTTACAAGTGTATCAGTCTCAAAACTTCCCATCTACTGCCAGCATCACTCAACATACAATATTCACTGTCACACAGGATATCACTGGCAGTTCCATGTGACAGACCCAAGTCTTAGGATCTCTGTGAAGGCCCAGTCAATCCAGGGGCAGCCTCCATCTGCTCTGTGCCAGGGCTGATATACTGGGGAAGCCAGTCCTTAACACTTACAGAGAAGAGCAGCACAGCAGATGATGACTGCTCTGTGATAAACTGCTTGCAGGCACAGGAGATGCCTGTCATTAGCCTAATCAGGTTTTCTGATCAAATTGCTATTCTTTACTTCTGGGAAACAGCCAGTAGGCCATACAGAAGAATCCCACAGGTGGACAGCTGAGCCTTACTGTAGAGCTGCTAGCAGTGCACTGATCAAGATAAACCCCTCCCTAAAGAGCTAACTTGTCTCTTGATCTCAGAAAACCCTGTGCAAAATGTAGGCACCACAAGCTAAGTAACAAAAAAGGCTTTTAGTGGAGGCAATTATCAGCATCGCTGCTAAAGCAGTGAGGAAGGTTGCTATTACCTCAGTACTCTGAACTGTTCTTGCAGTACAACAAACAGATACAGAGCATCTCAAGAATGCAAGCATAAGCAGACAGACAGAAAGCGAGGTTCAACAGAGGCATGTTGCACTGCAGAGGGATTAAACTACTTCAGGATGAGTGCTGTACACTTCACGTCACAGGACTCATATTCTAGTGCTAAAGTGTACCTGTGCATTTGAAAGGTGAACAGCAGGCAAGAGAAGTAATTAGTCTCACAGACATGAACTCAAAGGATAAAATATCCCTGCACACAGAGTATGCTGCTCATAGCTACAGCACTGACAGGCCTGATACTCACCCTGCTGTTCTAACAGCAAGCTTGCAGTACAAGCTAACATCAATGCCACAACACCTCTAAAGAACTAGTCTGTTACAGTCACAGTTTACAAAGGAAATTTGTTTCCCTACCTTCCATGGTAGATATAAACTCCACTTGATCATTCATGTTAGTGGTCAAAACATTATAGAAATTACGAAGCTCTTCATTCTTTGTGAAATTCTGTGATAAGGAATCAGGAGAAAGATGTGTTATTCCCTCATTTAATTCTAGTTTTAACAAAGCAAAAGCATTTGTGTTCAGGAAATAAAATGACCAAATACCTCCAGGGAAAGGCTCCACATGTGAAAGTTTGATGTCAATGGCTCAGTAGCAAGTGCATGTAATACATCATTAGGGAAATTCTTGAATAATCTACTGGTTTTTGCAGCTGTTAGAAAGAAAAATGAAAAAAAGGGTATTATCCATTACCCAAGCTGCCAGCAGTCTGTTGCATAGATTAATACTGAGCAGGAGACAAATTAAATGAAATACTGCATTAAAGTAAACTTTTATTTGTAGTATAACTTTATGATTTTAGAATATGCTACAAGGAAAATCAGTTAAATAACTACAACAGATTTCCAATATGCTGTTACCACTGTCCTCCAGTCCTGACCCAGAGAGGACCCAACATTAACGCTACCTAAAGTTCCCATTAAAACAAGTATCGTTCTTTGCCACTCATTTTTGTGACCTTTCCATTCACAGTGAGCACAAATGACAGAATTTGTGAATCCTACGTGGTTCACACATGTATTACTCACAAATTAAAGGATAAAGTAGCAACAGAGACCCCGATTTTACCAGTGTTGCTGAGTGGCACATCTCTGTCTTATGGGTTTTCTCCAATTTCAAAACTGTAGAAGTGGAACAACAATGCTAATATTCATCATTACGAAAGATGCAATTTGAAAAATTTATAATCACCCGCTCTCAGAGTTTGATAGGTTTTGGACCAATGAACTCTGTAACAAAAAAGGAACCTAAACCCACATTATTTTTGTAGGTCCACATTATCAAATGACTCAAAGAGCTATAAGTGTGTTTTTTGTTGACTGCTGTTGGTTTCAAATGGCTTGTGCTCACACCTCTGCTTTACAAGTGATAGATTTGCACTGACATTATGAAAATAGTTATGGCAATTTATTAAGAAACAAATTTAACAAGATAATCATCAGAAAATTCCCAAACATGCACCCCTGCATATTTATCACAAACAAAACACAAGACCTCTTAGCAAAACTCAAATAGGAGATGTAATAGATTTTTCACCTGAGGTAAAGTTCAGAGGGAGTGCAAAACCATTTGTCTTGGTATTAACAAGCAAAACTTTGCCACTTGTGAGATACGTAAGCTCTTCGTGTCCAAGACATGTTCCCCATACTGGGAAATAATCTCCTTTATCGTTAGCCTTCAAAATAAAAAACAACAACGTAAGGAAAAAGCACTGAAGATTTACAGAAAGAAGACTGAAGAGAACTTCCTACTCTTTTTGCTTTCTCTTGTGTAGGTGACAGATAAAACTACTGCAGTAGTACAACTGCTACTAAATTAATTTTAACAGTTCAATTAGAACTGAAATGAACAGACTCTCCTAGCTTTTCTCCTTAAAGATAAGGCTACGGGATATACATGTCTGTTGAAGCAGTAAACTGAGCCTAATGATAGTAGTTTCACTGTTCTTTCTACCAATAAGTAATACTGAGAGCAGCAAAGAAGGCAATCAGAAGAGACACAAACCAGCCTGTCACCATCTTGAGGGAAAGCCCACTCATCACAATTCATACTTTTATATGAAACATGTTATGATCACATTCAAGGGCCATTTGCAATGTCTGAATGCCTGTGCCCACCCATTTGAATTAAGAAAACATAAATCCTATTACTAGCATGGCTACAGTCTAAGTAACATACTTGTATGCTTGCTTAACTAGCAGGTTTGGAGCTGTGCTCCAAAAAGATAAATTGTGAATTTAAACAGCTTAAAAAAGTGATAATCACTTTCAAAAGAATACGAATTGACAGGCAAGTGCAAAAACAAGAGAAGAAAGTAAACAGAAGAAAAGGAAAGCAAAAAGAGAACACAACTAGCTTCCTGTCACTTCACTAGGAACAGTGCATATACACAATGAAAATCTCCATTATTGTATGGTTTATTCCTGGTAGTAATCGCATGTTAGAGACTGAGATGTTTCAGAACTCCTGTTTCTAAACATTTTTAGGTTATGCATAACGCATCACACCGCATATCCCTATAAGCTGCAGCTCAAAAGCCGTTTTTGAAACAGCTGAAACTATAGGCTTAGAATAAAAAAATGTTACCCTATTGCATTACTAGCAGCAGAGTAATAAAAGCCCATATAACTACTTCTTCTCAGAGCAAAACATGGAACATTTACAGAAAGAAGGCCAAGAGTACTGCAGTCTTCATGACTACCCATCATGCATAGCTAGACACAGGACTTGCGACACTGCCTGTCTTTCATGTAAGTGAGGAATAAAGCCACTAAAGGCAAAAAATACACTATGGTTTAGTAACTACTACAACTGAACCATACCACTTTGTGCTCCCACACCCCTCCCTTTTGTTTTTTTTTTTTCTTTATTTTTTTCAATAAACATTAGCCTGTAGGCTAAGCATGTATTAAACAACACCCAAGACATCACATTTTAAGAACTAATTTAAAAGCTGGAAAGCAGTATTTCATTTGGGGTTTTGCCCAGCTAGTAAAATTCTATTGACTTGGATGGGGATTAGCATTTCACATCCTCTGTTCATATTAAAGCAAAGCCAGACCACATCATTTCTCATTGTGAACATTTGCAAACAAACAGAAAATGAACCCTCATACATTTTTAAAACCCATAAAATTCAATCAATTCCATACCTGACAATATACTTTTGCCTAATGTAGCTTACTTTATATTAATAAAACTACCAGTATTTTATAACCCCGATGAAGTCTCAAAAGATGAAAATCAAAACACACAATTAGCAGAAATACCACAGGAAAAAAAAACAACCCTGACTGATGATGAACTGAAAATTACTTTCTGCCTTTCACTCACCTGAAGCACTCCTACCATCTAACAAACCTGCCACTCTGATCATAAAATTACAACATATACAACTGAGTTAATCATTGTGCAATGTCAATAAAATTTCATAATAGGACTGCAAACCACAAGAACCCCTTGCCCCAGTACTGCATACCAAGACAGAGGCCGCACTTCACACAATGAGCAGTTTCAAAAAGACAAGTGAGACTGTCCCACATAGAAGTGAGACAGACTTTGCAAGACTCAGGTTTAAGGCAACAGACAAACAATCACCACAAATGAAGACAAATAAAAGAACAACATTCGGGTCACAGGAAGTGAACAGCAGGAAACTTAATCACTGAACTGCAGCAGCTTACTGGTCCTGAAATACCACTGCCTGTGCTTTCCTTGTCTGCTGTTGGGAAGTCAGCAGCAAGGGTAGAAGAGAAATTCCTCCCTCTGATGAACGCTTCTATCACAGTAACTGCTTCAGCACTACTCATAATTGCCCTTAGAATTGAGCGAAGTTTTCCAAAACATGACTTCTGTGACTATTTTAATCAATGTTAACTGAAAATAAAATAAAGCCAGTACAGAGGAAAAAAAGGAAGAAAAATTACATTTTTATGCTATTCCAGTACAGAAGATCCTTAACAAATCATAGGGATTGTATATAAAGCTCAGCAAATCTCCATGCCTTTCCACAATGCAAATTTTACTTCAAAATGTCTTGATGAGTTAACTGAAAAAAACTTCACCCTTTATGCTCTAAGAGAATTAAATGTCCAGTAAGGATTCAAAACCTTCCTGACATTCTTTGAAAGAAACAGCTTTTCTAGATATTCAATCTTTTTCTTAATGAAGCTAAAGATCATATAAGTATTAACAATTAAGATAACCTTTCAAGTGTTCTTCCTACCTTTCTTCATGCTGTAAATTAAGCTAGTGTTTACTTTAAAAATGTGCTATATTTACAGTTATCAATGCAAAGAAATAGCTAAAATGGTAGACTCCATATCTGCACCTCTGAAGATATATTTAAATCTACTTATAGGTAAGTAAGAATAAAGGTGTTTCACAGCTGCAACATACTGGTGAAGGGAGGGCTTAATGTTCTATTATTGTAAATTGGTTTATTTGAGAGCCTGTCTAGAATTCCTTCTGAGTTCAAACTTTAGTCATGGGACTTATACAAATTATTACATTTATGTATATCTTTGTTCAACATTTAATGTCAAAGGATACTTTTCACTTTTTGAAGGCATAACTGCTACTCTATTGCAAGTTCCACACAGCCATAAGCCTTGGGTATAACGAATAAACAATACTGTTTTCACCTGAAGAAATTGGAAGTTTAAGACCATGACACAAGATAACAGGAGAGGGTTCCAGAAGTCTGAATTTTAAGCTATTAAATGATTTATTTTTTTTAATGCAGAAGCCAGCTACAAGCTCCTTATTATTGGGCTTACAGTTAACACACTGATGCCAATGCAGAGTTATGAAAATATGAGCCTCACTGTCACTTTGATCTCTGAACAGTGACAATAACAAGAACAGACTGTTCCTCAGTAATTACCTCTAATGCCTTGTGGTAAAATATCTTAGCAACCCTGGAATATTCTGAAGTCTTAAGATCCACACCGCCTCCTGGAAAAAGTACCCTGAAAGGCAACATCCAAGAGTCTGATTAGCAATGGTGATTAAACTAAAAGCTGGACAATGTACACAGAGAAAGGTCTGATAGTGGTTTTAAGGGTAGGATTCAGGTCTAGATTCAGACACCTACATTTCAGAAACCTACAGATAGTCATCTAAGCTTCCAGGGATCTAGTCAGAAAAGTCAAATAGCTTTTCTACAGCAGAAACGTAAGCCAGTAGGCTGGTCAGCCGGTTAGGCTCCATTGGCTCTACAGACTAGCATGACATTAATTACAGTTTAGACAGCTATCACACACACAGATGGCAAAGTTTAGGTGTCTTAGTCTTTAACTAATTCATATCCTAAATCTTAAGTGTTCTTCTACTGAAGAATACTAACTGTTACAAAGCAGTGACCAAGCTTAGTGCAATGTAAGGAAGAGGAGAGTAAATAGAAAATACACAAAGCATAGAGATTTCAGATGGCATGTAAAAGGGTTGCACCCCATGACTCCATCAAATCCTGTCCTGACTCTTAGCTGGCTCTGCCTACCACTTTAAAATCCTGACCCTGATCTTAATTCATCCTGTTTGATTTTAGTGACGAAGAACTGAAGAACTGTGGCCCTGACAGAGTAACCTTCCTATTGCAGACAACACAGCTCAAAAGTTCCTATTAAAAAGGAAAAAAAAAAAGTATGTTTGGCTACACAGAATCCGATGTAGCTGAAGACAATAAAACAATCTCAGGGACAATTTCAAACAAACAGTGCACAAGCTTTTTCCACTACAGTAAATAATCAGCAACAGCTATTCTTTGTGTCACTCCCCAAACCCAAACACCACAAAATAAAAAGACACAGTGCAGTCTTTTTCACAGGTATGCATGATGGCATGGAAAACAGAGTTTTCACATGTATGCATGATGGCATGGAAAGTAATCAAGTACTATCAGAGGCAGTAATAGGTAATAAGGGATGTCTCTTCCAGGTATAACTGAAACAGCAGCCACAGAACCAACAGAACTGAACGTATGAGCATTCCCTAACTCACTAGGGCAGAACTTCAAGTAGATTTACTCAAGCCACATCCACCAGCTGCTGATTTTTCACCAAAATGACTGAAGGATTTTCTCTACACTTCTGTGCTCTGGAAATGGCAACCTTTATCAGTGAGACACATGCACCTAGAAACAACTAACACATCAAACCATCCTCAGCATTTGAGTGCACATTTATACCATTGTGACTCAGTTTATTTTAAGGTGAATGATGAACAAAATCACACAAAAGCCACAAAATACTTGATGAAAAAGTAGAGCAGTATTCATAGAATCACAGAATAGTTAGAGTTGGAAAGGACTTTAAGATCATCTAGCTCCAAGCACCCTGCCATCAGATTACTCTCCAGTGCCAATATACAAAATTAATACAGCTGAAGATATTTTCAGAACAGATCATAGATTTCCACAGAGATCTATAATCTCTATAAATTAGACAAATAAGGTGATTCTTACCTGGACGTAGTGGAAAACTTACTTAACCTGTTCCTTTTGTTCAAACCAAAAACTGGCCAGTACTAATTAGGAAAAACAACTGTCATTTCTGCTAATGCTAAAAGGAAGTAACCCATTAAATAGCAATGATAATGGCTTGACATTGCCATAAGCAGATTGAAATGCAACTACCTGTATTCCTGTATCTCTAACTGGCTAAAGCTGATGACATACACTGCCTTTCAAATGCTATCCCAGGAGTACCTTGCTATATTCACAATATTCTGTCTCTAAGACAGTAAACTTCACGATTTTAAGAAAGTGGTGATACAAAGTAAATCATTTTCAACTGCAAAGAACCTGGAGCTCAGCTCCTGCAACATGAAATATCAAGGTATCACTTATATTAAGTTTCCACAGAACGGAAAGGCCTTCCCTCAAAGGATCTTTTTTGTTATTTGCACACAGCTGTGCTGTGGAAGCCACTAGCTGACAGAGGAGGGCAATAAGAGGAAATCTAGAGTGGCCTTACCCACCTACACAGCACAAATCAAAACGTCAGCCACTGCAAAGACAGAAGTATAGGGGAACTGGATCTAACTGCCTAACACCCTCTTCTGCATCAAGGTAGATGGTGAGGTAGAAAGAATGGAAGACCCCATTGGTACAAGTTCTTGTAGCAACCAAAGAGAGGCTGGCAGCCATAAGAAAGGGATGAAATTATTAATTCTGTCTCCAACATGAAAGGCCACATGGGGAGAAAATGTCACTGTCTTACATCTGCTTATGTCACAAGACCCATGTCTTAGTATACAGGGCATGATGTGGAGCATAAGAGGACAATACTCGCCTCAGACAGCCATGGGGCTAAATCTAATAGTTCTATACATGTTGATTAATATTGTAGTATATGCATAAACTTAACAGAAACATTCATGGTTTAAGATGCTGATCTCATGACTACAAGTAGCACAACCACATGCTACAGGCTTACATATAATCAAGCCTGTGAATGTAGCATCAGCTGATTTAACTCTCCTGAAGTGAGAGGGCAGCTGGAAAGTTAGAATATTTGTACAACAAAGACCTAAGCCACAGACCCATGACAGGCAAAGACAGGCCATTCAAGCAACAAGAGAAAGGACCCATACAGAAAAGGGTAGAAAAGACTGCAAAACAGAAACTTCTGTGATAGAGAAGATAAGAAGAAGAAGCAAGAAAGGGTAAGAACAGGGATAAAACACCTAGCAAGTGCTATTAAGTATTAACATTAACAGGACCACTCAAATGAGGAAGAAGAAAAAATTAACAAAGAAGTGGGGTTTTCACCTGTAAACTTGTTAATCACTATAATGCCACTTCTCTCTGCCTGCAGATAAGCACAGGCAAATGTCAGGATGAGCCTTGGCACTGTTGCAGATTATCTGACATGTGCTCGTCAAGGAAGGAAAGTCAGCAGATCGGCATTGAACGAAATAGTGCTCTGTCTTTGAATGTATTTACGTGTCTGAAGCACTCAGCCCAACCTCTCAAGAGAGCAGTAAGTGTCCTTGGGAATACAGCAAAGCTCAATACCAGAACTATCACATCTTTCAACAGAAAAAACAGTGCTCAAAACTTACCCATTAATAGAGTGGAATATTTTATCATATTCTTCATCTGAAAGATTTAATCTGAAACACCAAGAATATAGTTACAGAATACATATGAAAAATGCATATTTAACCATAAAAATGTCATCATTATTTAACAGAAACGTGAGACACAGAAAACATGTAGAAAGCATGCTTTCAACAGAATAAAACAGACCCAAATCAAACAAAACATTCCACTTGAAAGAGCTCAACCCACAGAATTGACAATAGGGCCCTGTCAGGTACAGTTCAAGATTAGATACTAAGAGACCCCTTTGAAGGCACTTGTATTTGACATTTATATGAGTGGTATGGTTATTATTTCCTGCAGACTGGCAACTCCGGTTTCCAATTGATTCCCAGAAGGGCAGAGCTGCAAACAGTGGGTCACACCCATTCTTCAGCAAAGATGTAGTTAAGAGGTGCAAAGATGAGAAAGTTCTCAGCATCAGCAAAATGTCAGCAAACCAGCAAGGTGGCAACACTCCTTGCAGAACTGATACACTGGGCATATTCAAAGAGTTCAGCTTTGCTACATCTAACTTTTTTGCCAGATTTAGAAGCCTCCATTCATGCATGAAGCTTCTGGTCTGCAAACATTCTGAAAGCTCTGCCAGCTGCGTGAGGAACATTGCTTCTAATTCATGCACTTAACTGGTGCTCTTATTTGACTGTGTATATACATCCTATCTATGCCAGTTCTGCTACTTTGCTACTTTTTAACCAACAACCAACATAAAACACCACATGGACTTAGCAACCCCCTGTCTGAGAACTGGACTTTGGTTTCTTCAAGGAGTACTGATAGCCTTTCTCCATTACTTGAATTCTAGGACTACACAATGGGACAAAGACAGTATGTATGTATCTAGATATCTATGATGTGTGTTTGTGGGGTGCTACACATCAGACTGAATATACCTAACTTCAAGAAACTAGGGATGCAAACTCTGGCGGGCAATTTTACAGGTAAAAACCTAGTAATTTCAAATAAATGTAATTCTTAATATTTCTTCTAACATACAATAACATGCTTCAATAGCAGCATGTTTCAGCCTGCTTTTATTCTGTTTGCTTCTAAAACTCCCTGCAGATTGTGGTATCTTCAAATAGTCATCGAGGAGCTTTAAAACACTCTCAAAAGCAGCACAACCGCTTTCTGAGCTCTAAGATAATACCGTTAAGTTAAACAATTATTACCCACTTGTAAGGATATAAAAATCTACCTTATTGGCACAACTCGGGCACCAGCAGATTCCAAAAACTTCACGTATGAAGCTGCAATATAGGAACTTCCAAATCTGTGGAATTTATCAAAGTGACACTCCTGTGCCAATATCCCTGAGGGATCCAAGACAGAAAATTAGGGCTATACAAACAGCAAATGCTACACACTTAAAACAGAATTAAACTCCAGTTTTCTACGTGCATAACATTTACCACCTGAAGGAATTCCAAACACTGAGACACTGGGGTATCAATTACGATGCCTAGTCACAAGGCACCAAACACGCATTACCTAAGTCTCAGCTTCTCTGCTTTAATTATTCAGTACTACAGTTCCTTTTAGATAAGCTACAGTTAAGATTTTTTAAAAAGGTATATACAGTGTAACATTACTGATAAAAGCTTTAATCAAACCCATGCTCACTCCACACAGGAACTGACAGGGTTTCATAGAATGGTTTGGGTAGAAAGCAACCTTAAAGCTCATCCAGTTCCAATCTCCTACCATAAGCAGGGACACCTTCTACTACACCAGGTTGCTCAAAGTCCTGTCTAACATGGCCTTGAGCACTGCCAGGGATGGGGCAGCCACAGCTTCTCTGGGCAACCTGTGCCAGGGCCTCACCACCCTCACAGTAAACGCCGGTTTGGGTTCCCTCGCCCAGGACAGCGAAGGCAGGGTTCGAGGCAACCCTCGGTCCGACCGGTAGCCCCCCCCACCCGCCCCTTACCAATGATGGGTCTCTCATTGCCCCCCGCCAGGCGGCCGCACAGCACGACGGAGGCTGCGGCGGCGCAGAGGAGCAGGAGCAGGGTGGCTGCCGGGCCGTCAGGAAGCCCTACGAGGCGTCCCATAGCCACGCCGCCCGCCGCCTGCCAGCACCAACCGTTCCACCACCGCCTCAGTCCGGCGCCACACAGCACCCTGCCCGCCTGCGCCGCGGGGCACGCCGGGACATGTAGTTCCGGCGGCGGGGCGCTGAGGGCCGTCCCTGGAGAGAGGCGGCGGGCTTGGCGATGCTGAGGCCCCTCCTCAGTGTTGCGACGTAGTTGCTGCATCATTAACCAGTGACAGACCAGTATGGTTCAACTAGAAGAGGTTTATTAATATAATGCTGTTAATACGTAAAAAATTATAAAAACATTGAGCTTTACATTGTGTTTATGGTCAGTAGTGAATTATTTGCATCATCTAACAGTAAATGTCTGTTTTTAGAGGCACCCCTTATATTCTTAAATAATAATGCACCTAGAGATTTTTCTTTCTTTTGTTGACTCTGCAGCTCTAAAGCTGCCAGACACCTCTTCCAGTCATCACGCAAATGTTCTCATTGTGTCCTTATTATTAACAGCAACCGCAATTGAGAGTTCCTACAGCCCATGTAACATGTAAACATTAAAAAATAATTAACAGTGCATGAAAAAGTAACTGCACTCCATGCTCTAACTGTTGTGTTATGCAAAAGTGCTACCATTTAGTAACAGATTCAAGGTGTTATCTGAAGATATTTAGGACTTTATATTCACAGAACTGGTGCAGTCCAAAGGAAGATTTAAAAAACCCAGCTACATTTTGTACATGTGCATATACATATGCAATCAAATGAAATCTCTGCCACATAAACCAGCAAAATGATTAGAGACTGGTTGCATAGGGAAAGTTTAAATCCTCCTGTTCACTGAAACACAGTTTGTTCCTTTATGTGGTTTCCATTCACGGATTAAAATTGCAGGAACATAAAATTAAGACAATAGCTTCAGTTCCCTAGTTTGTAAATGCCTTCAGACTTAACACTTGAAGAACTGCCAGATGCCTGACTACTTAGCTTATTTTCTTATAAAGAAGAATTAGCACTTCACTGAACTCCTCTATTTAAGGAGCTTTTATATCACAAAATAGTTCAATCTGAGAAAAAGATAGATATATGAAGTATATGGTCATATAAAAACATATTTGAAAAATGTTTCTTTAAATGCTCCATACCAAATATTTCCTGAAAGAGAATGAAAAATGCATTTGAGTAAATGAGGGAACTGGAAGAAAAAAAGTTATTAAAAAGTTTTCCTCAGTTTTGGAATAGTTTTGCATCTGGCATTGACCCTACCACAGCAGAAGAAAACAGAACCAACAGGTACTCTGTGGGCCTTTCACAGATGTTCCTCTTGCTAAGAAGGAACAGCTTCCAACAGCTTTTCAATAATGCAGTATTAATAATAATCTAATAGACAACATTTCGGATTTAATACAATTTCCCCTCATTTCTTTCCCCAAGTATATTTTAATACAACATCCCAATGTATCATGAAGATTCTAAAATAACTGAAGTTAGCGCTTCTAGCTACCTGCAAACCAGAGATTTGTTCTATATTTGTTTACATGAAGATTCGTATGGAATGTTTAAATACACAGTGCTTCTGCAAAGAAACCCTAGCTTGTTTCAAAACAGAGTTAAAAACTGTAAACAAACTCTAGGTGTACTTACAGAGATTTTAACAAAAAGCTGAATGAAAATTAAAATAATTTTTTATATTATTAAATACTGGGGGTTTCAGGATGATATTGCTATGTAATGTGAGCAATAGCTTTTACTCAGATATAGTTCATATCTGAATAACAGCCCTTTAAAAAATGTTTTCAGTAAGTATAGACAGATTTTTTTCTTTACCCCTACAGAAATAAAGAAATTAAAATTAAAAATAATTTATTCCAGTGCCTAACAGAAGACATAAAATGTTGAGTTGCCAATAACTTTTCTGAAAACAAAATTAAGGTACCCAGCATCTCCGGTGCTGAGGTCCAAAGTGACCTAACACTACCCTTAAACCATAAAACAGATACTTCTAAAGTTCAGATCCACAAAGGATAACCTACTTCACCCTGCAGAAGAAACAGCTACTGCAAACAGCTAAAATCCCTTGACCTCTGCTGTGCTTTACAGTAGGAATTAAAGGTGATCATAATCTGAGTTCTTTATAGTTTTTCCACAGACATTATCTCTTTGAAGAAAGAAAATCAGAATTTTCAAGGTTGTTTTGACTCTTACCAGTTCCTCCTCCTGATTCATACTGTTCTTTGAAGAATAGGTACATGGTGTTTTCCCTTTCTTCCTCTATAAAACTGGAAGATTACTGTGTTAATTAAGGGAAGCTGCACAAGCAGCAAAGATTAACACAAATGTCTCACTACTGCTGAGTAATTGTTAATTTGACAATAACAAAATAGTCCTTTTCCCTGAGAATCAATCAAAAAAGCAGCCTCGTTTCACTTACTGTAAATTAGCCCCACAGTCATACTTTCCCAACAAGCTTATCTACCCCATTCACATTCTGTTCTTTCTTGTAACCTGTTGTCTTGACAAGGCAAGACAGAAGAGCTAAGCATAAGGTTCCTGACTGCATTATTACAGATGAGTTGTCTCCAAAGACTTAACAGGAGCAGTTATCAATTTCTGATATCCAACACACTACTGAGCTTTTTGGCATACAAGTTAATAATCACAAACAGTACTGTAAATATGTAGAATTCATTAATCTCTTCAGATGTACATATTGACAGACTCCAGTTAGTACAAAAAGTGCAGTCAGTATACTATTCAGTGCCCTGCAAAGACATGCTGGTTTCATTTACATTAATTTCAAGTTTACATGAGAGATTTTGTACTAAAGTTATTTCCAGTGTTCAATAATTGAAATAATACTGTAGTAAGGTTATTCGTGGGCAAACAGAGAAATGCTCTGAAGATAATCTGCAGATGCCACTATAAAGTCAGTCCATTCCTTGGCCAGCTCTTCAAAGGAGACTTCCTCCCCACCATACTCCTGTGGGAGAATGCTGATGGGGAAGTGTTCGGTCAGACTCTGCATGTAGTTATTTCCATGCATATACACCTACAAAAAAAATATGAAAAGCATTTACTTGGATATGAATGCTAGATTACAGAGTGAAAACAGGCAGCAAAGAAGCTCAGTGCAAGAGCTGAAACCACCAGCTCAGTTTGACTAGACAACTCGACTTCTTCATAATGAGCGCCTTGAATGAAGGAGGAAGTACCATGTAAGTGAGTTTCCCATGGGTGCTCAAACTGTGTGCTCACTATCTGCAGCTTGGTGAAGCATGGACTACAACCCAAGAACTGCATTTTATGCAGCTGCAAGCACAGGAGCTGAAACAAACTACACACTTGTTCCAGGCTGGTTTAGCGACATTGAACAGCTAAAGTGAGCTAAACCATGGGAAGACCAGTACTTGGTCTTATCGTTATAGCTATCATGCATTTGGTTTTCTGTCATTTCCAAGAAAAAAACAGCTTGGCTCCTGGCCATTACTATCTGTTTCTGCCACATGTATTTAAAAACAGCATTATGCAGTATGTATGTAGGTTCACACAGCCAAAGAGGAGATTCAAAAGAATGGGTATCTTGGTTCTTACATTTCAGGTCCAACTGCAATTAGATACTGGATTACGCCTCTTTTTTAACACTTCTAATACCGTAGTTTTGGTTCTTCTTGCTTTATTGCAGCTACTTTGAAGCCTTATTTATTACTTTCAGTCAGACACTTTTATAGGCCTCTTATTAATACATGACAAGAATTCTCTGCAATTATTATTACATGAAAACTGCAAAATACTCAAAAGGTAGCTGTCTTTTATCTAACACTTGCCCATCAGGAATGAGTGAATAGTAATTACTCCTATTAAGGTATGGGGAACTGGCCCTTAGAGGTTTGTTTTGAGATCCTACCTGTAACTCAGCCTGGAGACAAGCCAATCTGCTTCTGTTCCATTCCATGAACTAGGATATCTGGTTTGTTTTCTTTTAGGCCTTTACTGTTCATCTGCCCTCCCTTCTGCTTTTTTAGTTCTATCCTAACATATTCTGAGCTGGATCAAATGACATGGGCTTTTATTCACAGCTAGTAATGTAAGAGATGAAGGGCCATGGCTTCAGGCTACTGCAACATACTTCATTTTCTTATCCTCGTTTGCGAGTGAGGGACTGCACAAGGCTCATGTAACAAAACACATGTGCTAGGAAAAGGGTGCTGGCAAACAAATGCTAACAGTGACCAGAAAAAACATGGATCTACTGTCCCTGAGTGTCATAGCTACTGCAAACGCACAAAATCCTTTTGCTGAGATAAGGAGGCTTCAGAGTGGGAACAGCAATAGGCATGGCTGCTTACTTTGTACCTTAGTCTGCTGTTAACATTTCACAGTACTTTTGTGTCAGCTGAAGTCTCCAACATTCTTCCTATGCTACAATAAACCAGAATTCTTGACATGCTTTTGCATCCACATACAAACAGGTTTTCAGATTTAAAATTGAAAAACCACTTAAAACAACTAAGGAGCTATTTGGAAAAAACCCTGAACTTAAGCCTGACTGATTTTTGATGCATAAATGCCTTTGCAGGTCTTTCAGAACTCAAAAATTTGTCTTCTACAAATCCTGCACTACTTGGAGCATAACATCACTTTTTAATGACAGTTTCTCACTGTCATTTATAGGCACAGTGCTGGGAGATCCAGGACCTATTTCTTCCTAGTTCTGCAGAAGAATTGCTGTGTGGCCTTAAGCAAATTATTTAACCTCTCTGTGCCACAGCGGTTTTTCTCTTCAGAGTGGTGATAACATCAACTGCTTGCAACTCTCACATCACTGATAACTGCAGATGCTTGAACAATTAAATTCTGGAGTCCTGCATGGCACTAACACACAAAAATAATTTATGCTTTTCAATGCTCAGGAGTACCAGACCCTAAGGGAAGTGCTACAGATCGTCACGTAAGGGTTTTGTCGCAGAAAGAAATATTTATGTGCACTCACCCGTTCCTTTATTTTTTCAGTGAGAAAAGGCTTAATTAGGGCGAAGACCGGGTGGAAGAATAAAGGCTCATTTATCAAGTGGATACCCCGAACTTTTAGTGGAAAGGAATCCTGTCAACATACATGAAAAATGGCATAAGAAAAAAGAAAATTTTGAAAAGATTCTATTGTTAAGGACAGTCTTTGAAAACTATGTAGTCCACAAGTCAGAACATTCCTCCTGATCTTACCAATTCCTGCACTTGTTCTTAATTTACACTGCCTCAATAACACTTAGAAAAATCACATCAATCACATCAATGTTCTTCCCATTGAAGAGTTTCCCTCCTTGGGGAAGGAAACCCAAACAAAATAGAGAGACTGACTACTGAAAAAAAAAAAACAACAAACCAACCAGAAAAATAAACAAAAAAACCATCACCAAATTATACATCAGTAATGTACATAAAGCTTGTGCTCAGCCTTTCCTCAGATGGACGATTCTTCACAAGAGATTCTGTGCTAATTTACACAAAACAAAAATCTATCACACCATGTGCTTTCATTGGCAGTTTACAGCCTGAAGGATACTATGTAAATATGTATAAACCATTAAAGCTACTAACTTAAGTTAAATAAATTATAATTTAGAGACAAGCCTTGAAATTACTGGGTATTTGTGCAAGCCAGTAGTTCAGCCTTCTACTTGCATTCACAATTCATTTAGAAGTTCCATACCTTTGAAAGTTAAAAGAAAATACAGCAGTGCTGAAAGACAGAATTATGCAACAGGGAATGTATAGCTTCCATTCATACCTCACTTGATACTACCTCTGCAACCAGAAGTTTTCTGCTTTTAAAAATGGTACTTCTCACAAGCATTTTCTCCCCATTAGTACAGCTGCTCTTCTAGAATTACTTCATTCACTCTTTTATGGATGAAAAAACCCAAAACCAAACCCCACACCTTTCTTAAGTGCAAATCCTTTTACCATTTAATGTATGATAAAGACCTTAAAACTATCAGATTATAGGTTTGCTGCATGTGATTATGTGCTATCATATACTTAAAGTCTACTGTCATGTTTTTCACAAAACAACTTGATTTTGCCTGGGGTAACAGATTTTTCAAGATGATGTCACTTACTAATCTGACTACACTTCTCATTTCTTAGTATGTATTTCCTTTCTATTAACTTCTGTTTCTTCCTACAGGGTAGTAATTTGTAAAAAAATGGGTTGAAACTAAGATTACTTAATTTTTACTTGTATATTGAACAATACTATGACAATCTCTGGGTGAAATATATGAACCCAGTTAAAGTGATGAACCTGAAAACAAGTAAGTTAAACTTGTTTCTCTTCTTAGAAAAGAACACTGGAAACACATAAATGTTTTCCACCTGCTTTTTCAATGCCTATAATAAAAATTTAGAAGCTTGAAAAACATGCAACAGATCTGAAATAGGTCATGATGGAAACATGACATTCAAAGAATTTCCTTCTTTGAGGTAATGGATTGAAGCCTTTAGATGTAATTGCAAATCCTGTTCTACCTCCTTTTTGCTATATTGCAAGGTTAAAAAAGTTACTAGCAATTTTTTTACTACCTCAGAAATCAACTGAAACACTTTTACTAGTCCAGTTCTCAGGAGATCTGGCCCAGGACAGTATGAGCATCAAGAGTTCTTATTCTAGATGTGGAAAGTTAGGAATATATGCTGGTTTCACAGAAGTTTCACAGAGGGTACCTAAGGATGAACAGCTGAAGTTACAATGGTATTAGTTCAATGACTAAGCTTTGACTGAACCTCAGATATGAACCTTTCCAAATCAGAGCAAGAGATTATTTCCCTGGCTCATTTCCACACTGAAGCTAACAGATTTTTTATCACTGACTTTCAGCCTAACTTCAGAAGGAAAATAGGACTACATTGTAGCTTGTCTGTCACTTCTCTGTCCCCTTCTTTTTTCCCTGCATTCCTTTTTTATTTCCTCTCATATCTATTGGCAAAGTTCTAACAAATTTGTCAGAAAAGAACAAGTCTTAAAGGCAGTAAAGTCCCTGCAAGTTTTGTGAGAAACAGGAGATGAATTAGCAGTGAGTTGGACAAAAAAATTGCTTGGGGGCGGGGGGGAGGCAAAAAGCAAACAGAACATAAACATTCTGTTGGTAGCAGACGAAGATCACATAGCATCATCCATAGTGGTAACAGGTTAGTAGTATCTTTTTAACTCAGCATATGCTCTGAGTCTCAGGGGAAAAAAAATGAAAAACACAGATCCTTCCAAAACTGGGCTTCACCTGCTCTTACACTCATTAAGTTCTTGTCTTCTAACAGGTAGGACCTGGAGTTCTTAAAAAACATCAGAAGTTAAAGGGCATTTACTGCTATGCAAGAACATACTTTATGTCAAATCAAGCACAACCTATGACTTTTAATGGATTTGATTTTGTTCTTTTAAGCTGCACAGACTCTAAAAAGGTCTACAGAAGGAAAATTTACTGTAGCTTAAAACCGATGAAAAATTGGGAGTTACAGCAATGAAGCAGTGTAAAGCAGTATGTTATACTTACTGTGAGAACAGCAGCAATTTTCTTGGCCACTGCTGGACTGATCTGAAATGCATGAGCAAATTTCCACCCTTGAAGATCAAATATAGCCTTGACTCCATTCCGCTGAGTCTCAGTCTCCTTTACAATGAGTTCAGATGTGATGAGACTTACACGAAACACATCGTATGCTGTAAATAACTTGGGATCCCATTGTCCTGAAGAGTAGACAGGTTACTCTGCATTACCACAAGAATACCGCATACACCTGTACTTTCCCTTGCTACTACTTCTAATGTGCTTCTCAGTAACAAAAAGCAACTAGTAATATCAAAGCTCCTGAAATAAAACAATTTGCCAGTACAGAAGTTATTTTCTGTGCCTGCTCTGTCATTCATCTTCTACACACTTTTTGTAGATGGTACTACCTAATGGAAGATGCTTGTAGATGCCACCTAATGCAGTATGTTCTACGGTTGTAGCCTCCAGTACAAGGTTTTGACAGGAACAGCTTAATTCAGTAACAGTTATGCTAGCAGAAACAACAGATCATCAATCCAATCAATTCAGGCAATTTTTCTTCAGTACAGTAATTCTACCAAGATTGTACTGCTGAAATTGTGACAACTAAAAAACCCAAAAAAAAAAAAAAAAAAAAAAAAACCACCAAAAAAATCAACCCCCAAATCCCCAAACCATGAAATAAACCAAAAATATCAGTGCCAGAGCCAGGTGTGAAACAGGTTCAAACAATTTTGTCACTCACCAATTCTGTATATTAGAACTTTGCTTCCATGAGGGTCCCTTGATCTCAGGACTCCGTGATAGCCAGCAAGTAAGAGACCAAGAACAGAAGATGGTCGTAAATCTGCACTTATTTCTGGGCATTCAATTCTCCACTTCTGGTAATTCTTCAGTAACTAGGAAAAATAAATGTGGATGTCAAATAAGCATCAGGTGTTATATGAACAGCACAGTTAAAAACCACTTTTTACACATGGTCACATTCAGGTTTAATTCATTAAATTAGCTGTAATTTCATTGTATATTTTAAGCAAATCACTAAGGTTGCTGTACTGGATCAAATGAGTAAGTCCTTATGATGAATATAGAACCCTGTCAAATTGCTAATGGACAGCAGTTGTCATTTTGTGTCAGAAAACTGGAAAATATAGAAAAAGCCTGGAGTTTCCATGCAAAATACACATGAAAACCAGTTTTCTTACTCAGGTTACCTTTAGAGTTATACAGTTTGATACTGCATCAGATTCATTCGCCAGTTTTGAATTTAGATATGTAAAATTTTACACAGGAATATTCTCCTTCACCCACCCATTCCTCCCCTCCCATAAAGTATGGGCCCATTTTGTACACACACACAGAGTCATAAATAATTTGAGTTTACTATTAAAACAGGTATGATCATCAGCATATCCAAAGAATCTTTTCAAGGTCCCTCTTAGCCCCCTGAAATGGCAGAATATAACAATGTAGTAGGTCCATTACCCATTAAGAAATTTGCCTCCCGCAGAGTAGAAATACAAGAATCTGTTTTGTTAAAGCAGAGATCCTGCCCTTTATAGAGGACATGATCACCCTGGCTCCTAAGACTGGAAGGCAGCAACAGTACACCTAAGGCACAGGAAGAGCTGTGTGTTGAAGGACAATGGCCTAACTCTAAGGAAGAGTCCACCAGAGGCGTTACTTTCTGAGGTAACATCTGTACAGAAGAATTACAGGTGATACTGTGAAAAGTCATCTTAAAGATGGATCATAAAAAATTAAGTCGGTGATGCAGTAGTTTTAATTCCCAAGTCTAATTATTGTTTCTTATTATTAAGTGGTGGTGAAGAAAAGTAACTGATATGCCCTGCAACTAAAATTTCTTTCAGATTTTTTACATAGGTAAGTGGGAAGCTATACAAGATTATTTTCTGAAAGGCTTCCTCTCGATTCACCAACCAAATTCTGCCTCTGCTCTATCAGCCATGCTAAGATTTCTATAATGGAATTTGGAGGGTAAAGGGGCAGTTATTGCAAGTAATTTAGATTTTATATTACAATTTCCTAAATAGTGACAGTTTAGACTTTTAACCAAGGCCGTCAAAGAAGCCAAGGGAATCAGAATTTTTCAGTACCTTGTTTCACAACAAACTGAAACATAGGTTTAAATCTTAAAGGTAGCATGCACAGGTTAGCCTTTGTAATTGTTTCTCTATTTCATCGAACAGCAAAACATAATCTGATCCTCATCACAGTTTCACAAATTAAATGTCTTCACAATAAAAGCATCAGCCAACAGTATAAAAACATCAGCCAACAGTCTTTTATTTCTGTTAATTTATATTAACAGAAATTATTTTTTATTTATTTTTCAGTATTTCACAAAAGAAACCTTGAAAGAACTATCAGCTTCAACTAATAGAACACAACCTTAAATTAAACATTTCTTGTATCTATGCAAGTATCATTTTCTTCATCATTTTGATAGAAAGAAAGGTCAGCAGGAACTTCAGTGAATACTAAATCCATCCTTGGAACATCACTGCATCATCTAAACTTACGCGTAGCTACAGTCTCTTAGAGGGAGACCTAAGACTCACCATCCTGTACCACATAGCGTGCTTATATGAGACAATTAGTTGTATTCCTTAACCTTCCCTCTACTTTTGTAGTTTCTCAGATAATTTTACATAAAACATACACTTTTTCTTCATTGTAAGCCTCTTCAGCTCAGCTGAGGGTTTTTTCTTCTAAAGGTGCCTCGAATTATCATGAGAAAATTATTTATAAGGCATTACTGTTGTCAGTAGAATTTACTTACAAATAAATGGTGTACTGATCAGAAATTATATTTTCATGGCATAGTGCCTATAAATGCATATTTAGGTACGAAAATTAGAAAGTTCATCCCCCATGCTACAATTCCACCTGATTTGGCAATGAGAAAGTTGATAAAAGCCTCATCCTAAACCATACTGCAGAAAGCAACATTTAACCTTTAAGAAAATTTTACAAGAAGCCTTTTGAATGCATTAAACCAGTTCTAGTCTAGGCTAACTTCAGACAAATGAACAAAAAAGGTTGGGGTGGGATGGGGGGGGAGGAGGGTGGAAGTAGGGAAAGTAAATTAATTTGTGGAATAGAAACTGACTATGATTGCAAGATAGCCCTGAAGAGGTACTCGGATTACCTCACTCTCTTAGTGCTTTATTCTCTACAAAGGGCACTGTTTGAGCAATTACAACTACTTTGTGCCAACCAGACAGCAGTGTCAACATATTTTTTTCCTTGGTCTTCCCAATACAAACAACTTTAACCACAGCAAAATACAAAATCACACTCAAAAACTACACAAACATCTGTAGCTTTGTAATTTCTCACTTTTCCTCCAAAATCTCTTGTACCACAACTTAAGAAACCTAACTTACAATCACATAAATATTGTAAACATCTCTTTGAAGTGCTGCCTGCCAATACTAAGATGAGAATAAATATAATACATTCATTTAATACCCTAAATAATCCTTTCTTGCCAATGCAGTTATTTTCATTAGTATTTACATTTTCCAAGTTGGAAAGAACAAGGACTTAAGTTCTGGACCTTGGCAGACAGTGATCGCAGCTTCTGACACGCAATCCTTACAGGACACATATTTTATCTCACTGGCAAATCCATTAAGAAGTAAATGTATCGTTGGAATACTACTGATGCCTTCCATAAGGTGGGCAAGTGGCACATCTTTTAGGTACATGACATGACTAAGCTCCAAACACACTTCCCTTGGACAGAAAGCCACAAAGTGCTAACGAGTTATCTGATTTTGAAAACCAATTCTAATTACCTGAAACAATTAGAGCTGAAGCAGAGGTTGGCATTAGATAATCTTCCACAGCATCCACAGCTAATTTGGGGACATACTCTATAAACTTTTACTTATGTAAACAATCCCTTTCTCGGCAGCTGGACATACTCATGTCACACAGCTACTTACATGATTAATCCTTAAACATATAATGGAATTAAAAAATTAGCAGTGGGTACTTACAGTTTTACTTTATTTTGAAATCTTCTAATTTAGCATTGTTTAAACACTAAAATTCATGTGAAATGTTTAAAAAGATATGGGTTTGTTTTTTTCTTAGTAAAGATGGCAAGGAAAAAAATATTATTTATAACAATCAGTCTGGATATAGAGATCAGCAAACTAATATCAGAAAAAACAGGAGCATTCATTACATAGTATAAAAAGTGGCTTAGTACTTAGAACACAGGGAAAACATCTCAATGTATAATTATCTGTGTTTACAGACTGAATAACCTACTTAGCATCTGCTCAGCATCTGAAAATAGATGTACGGTAACTCGATTAATGGGGCAAGATGGATGAAAAACTCCAGTGTCTGGAGTTAAGCATTAATTAGGATTTTTTTCCTGAGGTTTGCAAGAGACAGTTCCAGACTTCTGAACATCACAGATGATACGTTACTAATTAACCCAAGATTCATGTACTACAAAACAAAGTGAACTTAGTACTTTACTTAAAAGAAAACAATGTGCTTGTTACAGAACCAATGTATTTTTTATATGTAAATTAACTACTTTTTTATTGATTAATAACTATTTATTCATATTAACAAGGACGCTAGACAGAATTAGGCCTCTACTCTTGTCAGCAGTTGTACCAATGCACACAACATTTAGGACAAGTATGTTTTATACTGGTAATCTTTGGAGGAGAAACCAACAGCTCCAAGTTTAGAATATAAACATATATATACACACACACATAAACACAAACCTTTGTGCATATGCTGTATATATGTGTATATAGCTACACACAGAATTTAACTATCTGGTATACACAGACAAAGAATTTAATATATTTGTACTGAGACACAGAACTTTACCAACTCCACACACATCACCTCTTTGTCAGCTGGGAGAAGATGTGTAAAGTGAGACATTTGGTTTAGCACAAAGGGAAGACTTGTTGACTGATTTGTTTCCTCAACACTCAGCCCAGAGATGTCCTTTTTGAGAAATCCCTCTGCATTGATGGACAAAGACCAGCGAAATAACTGATTCAAACCTCGTATTTATATTTGAATGACGTGAAGATCCTCAGAGGTAATGCCCGAGACTCAGCAGTAAGTTTGGCACTATGGAAAACAATCCTTGTACAGCATAGTTATTCTAAGCAATTTATTTGCCATACAACACACTAGAAAGTCTTGATTCCTACAAAAGTCAAATGCAGAGCAAAGACAAAGTACCTTCATATCAACCAGAACTCTTAAAAGGATCCTAGATATTGAGATAGTTTTTAGTGCATAAAAATGATGCTTACAAAAGTCTTAACTGGTATATGAAAACACCTCCTGGCACAGAGTTTCAAAGTTGCATTTTTACTGAATTTAAAGAGTTTCATTCTTTTCCCCAGAGTGTAATCTATTTCAAGTACAAAAATACAGTATCCCCAAGTCACTGAGAATCACACTCTTATACAAAAGTTGCATGTGAGACATAATGAGAGGACGTAATAAGATACACTGGGCAAAAAAATTTATGGAGGAAAGAAGACGCTAGTCCTTCGGATTTCACATAACTACTGAATCCAAGTGACTGGTTTTGATCATAACAGTGAAGTCAAACATGCACACAGCTCATACATTAAAAAAGGGATGTATAAAGCCATTGCTTTAGTGCAATTAATGGAGACTCGTGGCCCTGCTTCCCCGTTTACAGCATATAGAGTACTTAGGTATATCTGCACAAATTAATGAGCAAACAACATGCTTCAGCTCAGATATGTATTTATATTCAGACTGAAGACTTCTTCAGCATTAGCATCTCATCCATACCTCTAACAGAGATTACAAAGGCACAGAAGATGCTGCAATGATATGACTCATTTCTTCAGAGTGTTAATTTTGGTAGGTAGGTAAGTATTGCCCAGAAAACTCACAGAACAAAAAAAAAATTCATTTTTACCTACTGGAGGTTTGTTGTTTGACAGTTAGTGTTAGCCTGTCAAAGGACTTTCTACAGATCAATCTCTCTGCCAGTATTTCATGTAGACTGACCTAATACTTTTTTAACAATAACATTCATACGCTTGAAATCCCTTCATAGAAGCTATCTGCTTAACTTCACCTCTTCTTCTGGAGCCTGTACTTAAGTGGTTTGGGTCGATGAATGTTGTTTCCAGACACTTTCTAAGATAAGGCAGTGGGCACAAGTTTAATCTTCCCTGTGATTCAAACTGAATAAAAATAATTATCTTCTAACTTGAGAACAGTCTGTTACTGAATTCAATTTAATAATCATTGGCTTTAAAAAATACAGACAGTTCCAGCTCAAGTTCTTCAGTTCCAGCTACCTGTTTCAGTAGTGGATTTTCTTCTAGCATGACATGTATAAGTACATCAGTACTTGGAAGCAAGTCTGGAATTGCCACTGGAAAAATGTAGAAGATTGCTGTTCAAACAACTAATCATAAAAGATTCAAAAATTGACTGTTTTGCCACAGTCTACCCATCATTCTTTTCTGAAGCATTTCCAAATGTCAGTAAACTAAAACCAGATAAATCTATATCAAATATTAACCAGGGATGCATGTATAGTCTGGTCAGTTGGCAGACTCTAGATTCCTACTTACAGCTATGTCTCAACCCGTATTAAGAAAGATGCTTGACAACCTTTGGTTATAAGCACTGAGAGAGCCAGAAACTCGTTTATCCCCTTAGCCTGCTCTACAAGCACTATGCAGCAGTACACAGGAGCCCAGTGGCCAAAAAGAGACTATCCCTCTGAGCTCCAAACTGAGAGGCAACATCAAACCAAGATGGGAGGGAGCAGCCACTGTCTGGACTGATGGCAGGAGGGCCCTGTCTGGGATGGAGTATTAACACAACCTTTGCATGCGGTCAGACTTGGGTTAGATTAACATACATCTTAGGACCACCACAGATTTCTGCACAATAATTCCCTTGGGCCTTAATATACCAATTGCAGATAAACGCATTCCTTTAACTCCTCCACTCTCCAAAAAAACCCAAATCAAAGCAAAACAAAATGGGCTTCTTTTCTTCTTCCCATACTATAAGAGAAGAACCCTTTAAGTCAGTTTCAGCTGGTATGAGGAAGATTATGTGCAGGTAGCTACAGCATTTAGAGATCTGAAATTCTAGATGGGAAGATGTGAACATGGATGGGTTTTGAACATCAGAATCTCTTAATTCATAGAAAGGTCAAAACAAGAAATGTAGAAACTTAGCAGCCTGTGAAGACCCAGAAATTCTGAAGAGATTCTAAAAAGACTTCATTTTTTCTGACCAGGTCCCCAGTCCTAGAAGGCTGATTCTCCAGAAGTGTATAGGAAATTCGCTGTATCATAGACTTCGTCTCTAAACTTATCCTGGATTCCATGCTCTTGAAAATTAGTCCTGCCTACAACACACCTCGGAATTAATCACAAGAAAGTGCAGAAAAGTATGGGCCAAATTCTAAAGTGCTACTGTCCTGTGTACAGCATTATCAGTAACAACCAACTGCAATGCAATTAGGAGTGGGATTTAGGAGTGCATGTTGTCTTCCTTAAGAGCTATTTTTTGGAATCCAGGAATACAGGAAAACAATACATCTTTTGTTGGGAAAGAGAAAAAGACACGGTCCTACAAGTATTAATGCACAGCCCTGACAGAAACAATGTTATGAACTTCAAGCAAAAAATCCATAAATATCCAAAGGAATCTCAATTGACTTGCTAGTGCTTCTACTGAGGAGAGGTTTAAAGCTATGATGCAAATTGCATCAGCCAAGCGAAAAGAACACAAAATATAGTTTTTAAAGCTATTTACAATTAAGAGCTTAATTCTGTTTCTCACATTCTTTTTTTTTTCTTTTAGCTACCCTGATTCTGCAATATATCCTTATGCAAACAACCTTCTTTCATGGTGACTAAACTCAAAAAATCTACAATACAGAGAAGTCATAAACTGAAAGGTGAGGTCTGTTGAGCAATGCTATGCCATCAACATCACTGAATATCAGTGAAACACAGCTTCCAGGTGGCGTAAGTGCTTTTGCCCTAGGGAAGATTTGGAAATACTTTCTGTTCAAAAGGGTTAGTGGTTGTCAATCTTCCTGTAAAAAAAAAGAAGTAGTAACGATTTGTACCTTTGGATATTAAAAATAGGCACGCACTGTCTGTACAGCAGAAAGCTGTACAAGCAGCCAGGGAAGTATGAAAACTTACTAAAGCCTGAAAGAAGTTCTGCAAATGACTAAACTCCAGGAGAAAAGTGTGGGTTTTACTCATAGCTCTACATTGGATCAATTATAAATAAGCAGTGAAACTAATATCATTACTAGTAACAAGTAACTGGAGCCTGGTAAGCACAGTAAGGATGTCCTCTAAGGGTTATAGTTTCCTGGTGGGAGTCATGACCTTACCACACTTACTGTAACCTCTGCCTTATATAACTGTACACCACTTACCGTAACCTTTATGCTACCTCATCGAGGCTGCACAATGCCAGCCACGGCACCACACATTTATATGGTGGTGCCATGCTGAATGTGACAAGCAACTAGTTACACCCTGAAACTCCCGGCTTGGCCTTGGCCAACCCGAGCAGCGCAGCTCACCCACCCCACTCTCCCCTTTGCAGCAATAACACACTCCTACTTCTCGATCTCTCGGCCCCCCACCACCGCCCTGCTGCATCGCCGTACCCCCGGGACAAAGGCGAGGCCCCCGGAGGCAGCGGGCTTCGAGGCCCGGTGGGCCTGCAGGTCCCAGCCCCGCCAGTGGGCTGGCGGACAGAATGCCTCCGGGCTGGGTCCGAGTCCGAGTCCGCGTCCGTCTCCGTGCCTGGCTGGCTGGCTGGCTGACAGCCGCCGCGGGGACTCCGCAAGAGAAGAGAGATGCGGCCGCCCCCTCCACACCCTCAGATGCTGGCGGGACTCCCCCACAGACCCTCAGGCGGCCACAGGTCCGTTCCTCGCTCCCCTCCTTACCCTCCAGGCCTGGTCCAAGTGGAAGTCCCGGGCGCGCAGGAACCGCACCAGGAAAGAGTCGCTGAGGGGCTGCGGCCAGCGCTGGCCGGACTCTGCCTCCGCCCGCCGGCGCAGCTCGGAGACAGCGCTGCACACCCGCGGCGAGTGGTCGGGCAAGTCGTTGAGGCGCCCCGCGCCCGGCGGCCCCTGCGACATCCCGCCGCTGGCCGGCTCCGAGGCGACCGCGCTCAGCCCCGCTGGTCCCATCGGCAACCGAGTCGCGGCGGAGCCGGCCGGGGGCGGAGGCAGCCCGTTTGGGCTTAACCCTGTGCACCCTCCCCGGTGGGAGCGGGAAGGGGCGGAGGCAGGTGTATGTGTGTGTCCCCATCCGGCCCCGCTGCGGCGGTCACCTTTTGGGGTGATACTTTGATCTTTGGTTTGGGTTTTGTTTTTTTCACGCTTTTACGGACTTGACCAGTTCTTAGCATTTTATGCCTTAAGAACATCTCTTTTGTTTTTAGCTTGCAGCTCCAAAAAGAAGCTGTGCCTGCAGTAAGAGGGATATATCTTCTCTGCATGGAGAAAAGATGCTGAAACTGAAGTCAGCTTCAGTACAACTTTGCTACCCAGCAGTGAGTTCAGCTATCGAAGGTGAAGAGTGCATTGCTGCTATTGGTATTTTTATAATAAGCATTTCCGTTGATCGGGTTTCCTTTGTGATCTCTCTGGCCTACTGAAGGCTTAAAAGCCTTACCTCATTTAACATACAATGTATAAAGCATACGTAGGCCTAATAAAAGGTTGACAAAACTTTGTTCGAGATTATCTTGCCCTTCTCTGGCTTTCTACGTATACGCTTAATATTTTCTTACTTTTATCTTTCTTACTACTTTTCAGTTGGTATTTTGGTTGTATCTAGTCATGTCCTGGACTCTTACAAACTGCTGAAATGTCTACAGGTATCCCATTCAGTATTACAGATGTCAAAAAAGATCTGCCTAAGTCAATGCAGATAAATAAAGAGTGGGAGGAGTAATCTTACCAAAGAAAGAGATTAAAGCAGGAACTCAAGGGACTGACTGAACAGGAAATATAAGCTTAGAGGGACAAAGTGTTGCAGCAAAGGACAAGAAATGGGAAACCACTGGGTGTAGCTGTCAGGGGTATGTAGAGGTGGATATTAGGGAGGTGTGAGGAAGTATAGACCTGCCCTAGATCAAGAAGAAAAAGCAAGCTGGAAATGTAAGAAGTCACAAAAGAGAACAGAATGTGGAGAGGGCAGCAAACAGCAAGTTGTGCTAAACCTTTCTGGACAGAGCTTCAGTGGGAAAAATGGCATGCAAATGTAACCCATCCACAGGTGGCAGGACAAACACAAAGGGATATCACAGCAGGGTCAGACAGTGCTTTTAAACACCACTTCCTAACTGTTGAGCGCTTAGTTTTGCCATCTCAGTATTGTAACAACTTACTGTGAAAACAAAAAGGGTGAGAAAATACAGATACTTTTTATTTCACCTTTCAGCTGAGCAACTCACAGCTTTTAAATAGCTTTTCTACAAAATTCAGATTGTGATTTTGGCTTCATATTTGACCAAAATTAGTTTTACTGGTGGTTTCAGTGATTTTTCTCAAGACTGGGTTACAAAAACATCTGTAAAGTTTCTATTAAAAATTCTGCAAGTGATACTATAGTTGTAACACTAAGGAGAGCTCCTATCTCTGACAGTGAAGATGTGATATCACTGAGGCTTCATACAGAGGAGCCAGCATGTTGAATACTTGAGCCTTTACCAGAGCAGTTAAGACCTGTTGCAAGATGAGGCTTGTAGGTAAAGTTTTTATTTTAATTACAGCTCGAAAAGAACTCAAGTGCCTGAAAGCTCTGTCTAAATAAAACATTCCTGTATGCAAACTTTGCTCTGTGTCCTTGGACCATGATGATTATTGCTGCAACAAAGACTAGAAATTGTGGCAGTATCTCTTAGATGTTCCTTTTTGGTGTATTCTGGCAACAAACAAACTTTTTCCAGATAGCTGGAATTTGCCTTCCTTCAGCAGATGCTTTACATCTGTGTAAAACCCACATCATACTTCAACAGGTCTTCCGTGCCAAGTGTTCAAGAGTTGTGTAAGCAACTATCTTTGCCTACACTAGATTCTACAGTCTAGATTGACTGTAAAATATGTATGTACCTGTGCTCCTTTCTTTTACAGGATACTATCAAAATCAGGAAAGTTTTTTGAGTTTCAACCCTACAGTAGTAGTTGTATGTTCTTTCCCTGAAGGATACAGATAAATAGAAGGACCTTGTATTTCACACACACACATTTAAGCTGTTAGGATCAAGATTAAGAGTTAAACTTTCACAGGTATTGAGCTTAATTTCAGTCACTGAGGGCAGTGGATAGTTAGCATGTCTATAAATTAAGTTCTAGTTAACTTGCTTAAGGTTGTGCAAAAAGGCCATCAAGGAATGTTTAATGTTCAGGTCTTTAATTGTTTCTAAGAATTCACATATTTAAAAGTGTAAATGCAGAGGTGTTGGGAAATAAAGGCAATAATGGGGAGAGTTGTTTTAGAGGTTGCCAGATGGCTTGCTCTACCCTCTTGCCTTTCTCCTCAAAATATACACCAGCTAAACCAAAATAACACTACCCTACCAAAAAAAAAAAAAAAAAAAACCAAAAAACCACAACGAAAAGCACCAAAACCAACCCAAAATGTTCAAGTATTTAATTCTTCAAGATTATGACGTACTCCTGGGTGGGCAGGCATTTGGGAAGAATTATGTCACCATTTATTAAACAGAGAGAAATGCAATTAAAAAAATATTATTTATCACTGTATTATTTATGTTCATGTAACCTCCCCCCTCAAAGCCCCAACAAACAGTCCTGTACAAGGAAACTCCTGTACAAATGCAAGGTTCCAGTGAAGTCCAGAGCAGACATTCAAATCAGTAGGACTCCCAGTTTGTCGTGGAAGTCTGCTCTCGTAAAGTACTTTGGAATGTTACTCTGGAAAAGAGAAATCTTTCAAGCTAAACAGAACTGAATTGAGAACCTATTACTGTATTTGTCAGCCGATCATTTTGTACAGAAAAAAAAAAAAGGTGTATAATAGAATCATAGAATAGTTAGGGTTGGAAAGGACCTTAAGATCATCCAGTTCCAACCCCACTGCCATGGGCAGGGACACCTCACACTAAACCATGTCACCCAAGGATCTGTCCAACCTGGCCTTGAACACCGCCAGGGATGGAGCATTCACAGCTTCCTTGGACAACCCATTCCAGTGCCTCACCATCCTTACAGTAAAGAACTTCTTTATAACCAATCTAAACTTCCCCTGTTTAAGTTTTAACCCATTACCCCTTGTCCTATCACTACAGTCCCTAATGAAGAGTCCCTCTCCAGCAACCTTGTGGCCCCCTTCAGATACTGGAAGGCTGCTATGAGGTCTCCACGCAGCCTTCTCTTCTCCAGGCTGAACAGCCCCAACTTTCTCAGCCGATCTTCATATGGGAGGTGCTCCAGTCCCCTGATCATCCTCGTGGCCCTCCTCTGGACTTGTTCCGACACTTCCATGTCCTTTTCAAGTTGAGGACACCAGAACTGCACACAATACTCCAAGTGAGGTCTCACGAGAGCAGAGGGGCAGGATCACCTCCTTTGACCTGCTGGTCATGCTCCTTTTGATGCAGCCCAGGATACAGTTGGCTTTCTGGGCTGTGAGCGCACACTTAAGCAGGCTCATGTTAAGTTTCTCATCAACTAGCACCCCCAAGTCCTTCTCTGCAGGGCTGCTCTGAATCTCTTCTCTGCCCAACCTGCAGCTGTGCCTGGGATTGCTCCAACCCAGGTGTAGGACCTTGCACTTGACATGGTTAAACTTCATGAGGTTGGCATCAGCCCACCTCACAAGCATGTCAAGATCCCTCTGGATGGCATTCCTTCCCTCCGTGTATCAACCGAACCATATGGCTTGGTGTCATCCGCAAACTTGCTGAGAGTGCACTCAATCCCACTGTCCATGTCAGCGACGAAGATGTTAAACAAAACCGGTCCCAACACCGTTCCCTGAGAGACACCACTTGTTACTAGAGTAATAGTTGCCATCCTTCTCTGAATCATAATGTAGGCATGTCTTAGAATAGTAGTGCTGAAGAGGTCAACTTTTCAATGCAACTGAAACCCCAAGGTGTAACAGGACTGGTTTTTGCAGTAAATTCTTTCTGATTTTTGTCTGAATTTCTCATGATCCGTCTTTCTTGTCTGTCTTCTTACTGGTGCTGAAAGCATTGATCAAATCTTTGGCAAACCTCTTTCTATTGTACTAGACCTAGAAGTTTGTAATATACTCTCTGGCAGGGTTGGCTGGTGACTCAGCATCTTAGTGATAGCCTTTAAATGTCTTCCTCTATAGTAAAATTCAGCAGACAGCTGATGCTAGGCACATGGCAGGGAGCTTGTCTTTCATTTTACGGCACAATAGATGATTTGCAAAACCATCTTAGTGTAAAAAAACTAAATTTCAGTTAAGTGTAATTTAAGCACAGCCCAAGCTTCTACTTAAAATAAGCTTATTCTGCTCTGTAAAACACTGTAGTCCTTGGTGTGTGAAGAGATGATGAAAAACATTCATGGTCAGGAACTGGAAGGGTAACTCAAGGACTGAGTGATCAAAGGGAAATATTTTTATCCTGCTGTCTTGCTGTAGTAAGAGTATGAATCATCTGCAACAAACCATCTGCAGAAGTGATGGTTTATTTACTGCCAGATTTATGGGCATCCCCTCAATGTCTGGGCATGTTATAGAAGCAATATAAGGGCTAGCAAGACCCAGCCCTGTCACATGTGTGGGAGAACAAGCATCACACTGTATGTGTTTAAAGAGAGGAAGGACTTCTGTAGTAAGTTTCTTAACCCTCTCTCCCTCTTTTCCTCCTTCAAATAAATCTATGCCCATACACAGGGAGCAGAATTTATGCACTGGCTATATGTTTAATTAAGTACTTCAGGCTTTAATTTCACCTTTAACTGTTTTCCACCTATCACCTATAACTTTTAGTTGAAATTTATCTAACTAATTTCACTGGGTTTTCACTGAAAAGCTTCTGTAAACTGGTGATGAGAAGGAGCAAAAAAACCCTCAAAACAACCAGCAAATACAACAGCTCTAGAATAAATTTCTCAGTATTCCTTGCCTCTGTGTGTTTCACAACATCTGTCTGCGATTGTGTGTTTGGTCTGGTTGGCTGCAGTGTCCCTCCCTGGGACCTCTGCTCACAATTTTATTTGCTGCTTTTGCAGCTTGTCAACATTTCCACTGTATAAGCACAGAAGTGATAAAAGATATTAACTCAGGT